AGCGTCTCCACGGAGCGCCCCGCCGGCCGCCGGGCTGGCCTCTGACAGTCGTTATGCGCCCGGGCGCGGAGCTGACGCCGGGAAGTTTCTGGCCGATTCTGGTGCGCGGCCGCCGTGCGGGCAGAGGAAACTGTGGCTGTGGGGCTCGCTTTGTGCTTCTGGGGGACATGTTTAGGAACCGGTGGGCTTTTGTGGGGGGAGGTGAGGAGTGGGGGCCCGGGCAGGGCTCCTGGACTGGAGTGCGGTTCCTTCCTGGTACCTTTGGTGTGGAAATGGGCGTGGGGGTGGTGGATGTTAGGACGGTCCCGGGGAAGCATTAGCAGTCGGTCCCTTCTGGAAGATGAGGGTGGAAGGGCACCTGCAGGTGTCGCTGGAACTCCCCTGGGGCAGAGCTGTGGGCTGCAGAGTGGCACCCCCACCTTTCTCTACGATGTGAACGGGCTGACTGGCACCGAGCAGGAAGGTTCCAGCCTCCACAGCCTCCTTCACACAAGTCTACGCCTGATGCCAACGCCCCCACCCCAGGCCTGGGTCACAGGATGTGGTGTCCTCCCCCCAGCCCTGAGTGACAGGATGTGGTGTCCCTGAGGGGCACGGATGACTGGCTTCAGGGGGTTGGCTAGAAAGAAGAGAGGAGAGGCAACCAGGGAGGTGGGAAATTTCACAGGAGGTGGAGTCAGCTTTAATTTCAGCTGTGCTAATGATTATGTCTTTTTGATGTGTGGCTGGGAGCCCGCACATGCAGGACTGATCTGAGTTATGCCTGGATTTTCAACTGCATGGGGGGTTGGCACCCCAAACCCTGGGTTGTTCAAGGGTCAACAGTACTAGCTGGTTAGCCTGGATAAGCTCACATCTTAGAAACTCGGTTAACTCATTAATAAAGTGGGGTACCATGCCTCATCTTGGCATCCATGTGTAAAAGGCTGGGCCTTTATCAGCACCACTACTACTACAGTTGCCAAGATTTGGAGGCAAAGCTTTGCAGCTCCACAGAGCTGAACAAGTAAGTGGTCAGGGCCAGGCACCAGGGATTCAGGTCCCTTTGAAGCCCTCATCAGTGATTTACCAACAAATCACTGGTGCCTCAAAAGTAGAAATCATGCAGGAAAAGATGCTAGCAGGGCCTGCTCTGCTATAATACTTTTAATTAAACAGCCCCAGAACTTGGCAGCCAGGGAGTTTTTGACTTAAAGATGGGTTCCCTGAAGTCCTTCAGGATTTGGGAACAGAGGTGGAGCTCCAGCATCTGACTTGGTCCTCGATAGATTCATTCTGGAAGGGAAACAGGGCTGCCTCTATTTATCCCTTGGGTTCCTCCTGCTCTGAGCTGCCAATTTTCAGCTTCAGCTCAGGTGTGGGATAGATGCTGTGCAACTTGTTTAAAAAGTAGTGTTCCTCTGGTTCCTGCTCTTTTCACCCCATTACCTGCCACTCTCCCAGCTGACTGTGCTGCCCTCCTCCCCCTCAGGGCCTCTGCACTGGCGGTTCCCTCAGCCTGGACAGCTCTTCCAAGTGTCACCTCTCAGCGCGGAAATACCACTACCCCACCATCCTGATCCCCAGTCTGCTTTCTTCAGACCTCATCATGGACAGACACCCTCTTCTTTCTCTTTATTGCCCGTTTCCCATTAGCAGTAAGCTCCACAAAGACAGGAAGTTTTGTCCGTTTGGTTCTCACTATATTCTCAGGAGCTGACCAGTACCTGCTACTCATTTTATCATCAAATCACCAGGGCCTTCAGTAAGACAAGCTATTGTTTAAGAACTAAGTGACACAGAGAGAATCTGCCCTGCTATAGCGACTTTCACGTGACAGTTCTGGATCCTGGTGGCCAGGGAGGCCTTTCTGGACAGGCTGACCGAGAGAGCCTGACCGAGCATTGTGGCAATGACGATGGCCTTGATGTGGATACTGGGTGGTCTTTCAGCCCAGTGTGAGGACTCAGATTGGTGATGGGGCACCCATGCCAGGATGGGAAAGTCTGCTCTTTTTAAGCAAAAAAACCTTCTGGAACTTCCTCTCCTCTGGGAAATACTTTTTAATGAGCAGTCACAGCCAGGACAGCCCATGTTTCCACATTCACCTAGTGGGTGTGTCTCTGGGCCCACTTCTCTGTGTCCACGCAGGACCCAGCCCAGGGTGGCCCTCTTCAGCTCAGCTGCTGGGCCTCCAGCGTCTAGTCCTCTGCTTCAGCCTCCAGGGAGGTTCTGTTGGTTCCTTCAGGGCTCCTTCAGGAAGTTTTGTCTGTTTGGTTCTTGCAACATTCAGCAACTGACCAGTAACTGTTAGTCTCTTTAGTCTATGTGAGTCCCTGGGTCAGAGCTGGTTGAGGGCATAGGCTCGGGCTGTACTGAGGGCAGCTTCCAAATCAGTAGTGTTTCCAGTGCCCTGGGCCACCACTCGGGAGCCCCAGGCCTTGCCCCCCATATGGCTGCACACAGCCAGCGCCCAGGCCTCTGCTGTGAAAGCTGGTGTGGCACTCTGGGGACAGAAACAGAAGGGGCAGCACTGTAGAGCAGCCGTCCCTGCCACCATCCACTCAATGTACCCTTGGGAGTGGAGTCAAGGTGACTAGAGCCCCCTCCCCAGCCAGGCACATGGGGGAATGGGGTGAAGACAGGTGAGGGTTGGGTTGGGAATGTGTGTGGAAGTTGATGCATGTTTGCAAGGGATGTGCAGCCTGGAGGGGGATGGTGGTAATCAGGGAATCTCATGGAACCCTCTCTGGTGGGGATGTGTGGTGGTAAGGGACAAGAAGATGGCCCTATCTATGTCCTGGGGTGTCTTCATAGATTGCCTCTACCCAGCCTTGGCTCCCTTGTCTGACAGGAATAAAAAGAGTGGAATCAGAGGGCTGGACTAGAGATGGGCGGGGTGGGGGCTGCTCTCCCACTTCCCTCACCTGGGCCACCTGACAGGCACACAGCACATGCCCCAGGGGCTGGGGGCTGAGTAGCAGCACGGACGTGCTGGGCACCTGCTCACACAGCTGCCGGACCACCTTCACCAGCACCTGGGCAAGGGAGGGCAGGTGGTGATCCTGTAGCCCCCCAACTCCCAGCTTCCTCCCCATCAGGACTTTCCCCTCCCCAGGCCCTGTGGCTACCCCCAACCCCAATACTCACTGAGAGGGACTCAGTGGAAACTGTGTCCACAATCAGGGGTCCCTCTGAGTGCCGCTGCAGCAGCTCCTGTGATTTCTGTGCAGCCTGTGGGACAGGGAGGACAGCATAGGGGTCAGGCCAGAAGGCAGCTGGCTCCCACTTCTGAACTGAGCCCCAGTCCAGGAACCCCCTCCCTTTCCCTTTCTCCTCCCCCCTAGCAAAGGTCTTCAGATTTGCGCAGAGGGGGCCAGGGGTCCTGCCTGAAATGGTATCCTTCTTTTAGGTTCCAGTGAGTCCTTCCTCTCCTTCCTCACCTCCTCCCTTTCATGTTAGCTCCAGGCCATGACAAATAGGTCACTGAAGGTGAAAGGACTAAGGCAGAAGTACAGATGGACGAGAGGAGGCAGGAGGAAGGAGAATGCAGTCAAGGAGTAATTAGGGCTGAATGGAGTAATCAGTCAGCTTCCTGGAGGGAGAGCCTGAACCAGGCTTCGGAGCTGGGAAGATAGTTTGGCAAAGTGGGGGTCTGGTGATGGTGTCCAGCTGGGAGGAGAGGGAGCTGGCACCCATCCCCACACCAGGCCTGAGGCTCCTCTGTGTTCCTACTAGAGTGTCTCTGACCCTTGTTGCGTGTGCCTGGTATCTGCCCCCATGGGTGCAGCCAAATCCCCTCCTACCTGCCTTATTTCCAACTTCCGAATAGCAGTGTTGGCACGCCGCTGCAGTGCCTTCAGTGTGGCCTGCAGCTCCCGCCGTTGCCACTGGGGTATCACAGTGGTGTCCACGGCCTATGGCCAGAAGTAGCACATCATCCTTGCCCCTCTCTGAGCCACAGCCTTTGAGGCAGGGATCAGCAGGGCCAGGGAAGAGACCACACCCACCACATCCCACCCTGCAGACAAATGACAAACAAACACTGAGGCCAGCTGGAGTCCAACAGGAATGCTGGGGAGAGACTGGAAGGGTTCAGAGAGGCATGGGGAAGGGCAAAGGACCAGGACACATATTTGTGTGTGCAGCTTCATGGTGGGCATGACCCTCACATCAATGAGTTTTCCCATGTCCTTGGACAGCCGCTGAGTCTCCACCGCATCCTGGCTGCCCCGATTCAGCCGCTCTGCAGCTGCTTCCACCTCCTGGGCCAGGCTCTGGCCCACTTCTCGGGCCTGCAGGGAGGGAACAGGATGGTTAGGGCTGCTTGGCTTACTTTCGAGGCTCTCAACCTATTGATGCTCAAGGCCAAATTAGAAATATTTAACAATCAGTACCAATCAAGGCACCAAATAAACATAACAGCTGCCAGCTGCTAGCAGTGCACATGTAGGAACACTGGTTCTGCTGCTGGGCATCCCCCAGCCCGAGAGTATCAACTGTATGTGGCCCCTGCCCCCATCCACACTCAGCAGTCTCCTGTGCCCTGCTGAAGTGCTCAACCTGCTGGGCCTGCTCCCCAGTGATGGCCAGCAGACGGGTGATGCCCTTGGTGAGTTGGCGCTCTCCAATGATGACCAGGTCCCCTACAGCCCCCGTGCGCAGCAAGTGCCTGTGGGCAGAGGCAGGGAGGAAGAAGTCAGGGGGTTATGGAAGAGAAAGAGCAGCCTGAGCTCCAAATCAAGGAAGGGTGAGGATCCAGCCCCAGGCAAAGGTAGGCAGAAGGGGGCGACTCACGTCCCACAGCACAGCTCCACAGAAGTCTGCAGTGCAGCTTGAGAGGCTGGGTCCAGTGCATGGGCCACAGGCACTCCCACTGACACAACCCGCACCGGATCTGGGTACACCTGTGGGTGAGAGGACAGGTCTGTTAACAGGCCTGGGTACACCTGTGGGGGGAAGGTGATCACCACCAAGGGGGCTCCCCCAACTCACCTCATCCAGACAGCGCAGACCAGGGACATGGGCAGTGCGTGCCAGGGCTACCTCCTCCATGTACACAGCCTCATCCTGCCTCACGACCTCCTGCACAGTGCTCTCCACTGCCCGGAGCTGCTCTGGGGTCAACGGGGCCTGGTAGATGGGAGGGAAAGGGACAAACTGATTGGCAGTCAGCCCCATGCCTGCAGCTGACGCATTAAGAAGCAGTCACTGTTCACTGAACTACCCCCAGGTTCTAGCTAGAACCTAATAGGTGCTCAATAAATATTTGTGGAGCAAACAATTCTTTTCTTTAGAAAGCTACCTGGGAGTTGGGCCTATTGGAAGCTGCAGGCCTTTCATTAGGCATTAAAAGTAGATGGAGAACCCTGGCCGGGTGGCTCAGCTGGTTGGAGCATCGTCCCATACACCAAAAAAATCAGCGGGTTCAATTCTGGGTCAGGGCACATACCTAGGTTGCAGGTTGGATACCCCATAGGGCTGTGTACGGAGGCAACCAATGAATGTTTCTCTTTTCTCTCACATCGACGTTTCTCTCTTCCTCTCTCACCCCCTTCCTCTAAAATCAATAAACATATCGAGTGAGGATTAAAGCAGAAAACGGAGGTTCTGTACTCAAGGGGCTTATGACAAGGGGCAGCCCAATGGAAGAGAAGTACAGGACGAGGGAGACGGTGGAGCAGGAAGTAGTCAGGTGGAATGGGATTTAGCCAGTGAGTGCTTCCTAGAGGAAATATTGAGCCAGATATGCATAGAGAGGAGGGAAACGGTGGCAGAGAAGGGAAAGAGCAGCTCCTTTGCACAAGAATGGCTTGGGTGACAGCAGGAACAAGGAAGATGGGTGGCTGGGGTGAAGGGAGGACTCCAGACACTGCCTAGCTGATCCCCTGCTGTGCAGGAGAGCCTAATGGGAAGACACACACCCAAGTTCCCATACTGACTGAATGACAGGGAGACCAGGCCCTCAGACTGGCCAGACACCCCACACCACCAGGCTTTTTCACTTTGAGCCTGCCTTTCTGTGCCCTGCTCACCTGGGTGGCCACGTCAAAACGTAGCCGCTCGGGATTGAGATGGGAGCCTCGCTGTTCTGTGCCAGGGCCCAGGGCCTGCCGCAGTGCCCAGTTTAGCAGGTGGATGGCCGTGTGCTTCTCCATGCAGCCCAGACGCCAGGCCTGAAATGCTTTTGTCACCCAGGGTTCTGGGTGATAGTGGGGGGTGGAAAGAGTAAAGGGGTTGCAGGATATCAAGAACAGCAGGGGTGGCGTCCTTACCTTATCCACATGCAGCTGCACCCGGTCCCCCACCTTCAGGCACTCAGGGGCCACAGCCTCATGTAGGATGAAGCCTCCACAGGCATGGGCCCGAGCCACTGGGAACAGCACATCCTGGGGAAGGTCAGGGGCCAAGGTGCTAAAAGTGACTACCTGTAGCCTTTCCCTCCCCTTGGCTCCGTTTCCCGCTCAGGTCTGCCTCCTGCAGAAGTTACCCTGTGTGTGTGGCTCACCTGCTGCCCCACCCGCACCAGGTAGCCTCGGTCTGAAGCCTGACCTCCCTGTTCAGCATAGAAGTTGGTTCTGTCTAAGAGGAGGCCACAGCGCTGGCCTTTCCCCACGGAGGCAACGGCTGTTCCGTCCTCTGTGTACAGCTGGAGCACCTGGGCCTCACAGGTGCCAAACTCTGCCAAGGCAAATAATGGTTGTCAGTGCTAGGCAGGGGTTTGAGACGTACAGGTGGGTCTATGCCTTACTTGAAGCCAACAGACACCTGGCTGGGGAGTGGCAAGTCCAGCTTAGGGCCACAGCAACCCCTGGTGGCTCCCACGGGGAATACGTAGGGCAACCATCTGTCCATCCCTCCCAATCACGGTCAGGCAAGCCTGTGGCCTCAGTCCAGCCTCTCACCATAACCCCCGCTGGGTTGAAGGCAGTAGTTGTACTTGGGGGTGTCATCAGTTGGGGGTAGTCCTCGGCGCTGTAGCTCCCCCAGCGCATGGATGTCAAGCCTCAGTCCCTGCTCCTCAACTGGCTCAGCCTGCTGGGCCCGGTGCTGCAGGACGGGTATGTGTGTGTGTGTACAGAAGGGGTGCATGGAGAGTGCAAGGGGCCTTGAGCCTCCAAAGGGCCCTGCCCCTGCCACACTGCTCTGTGGACCCTGCAGGCCCCTCTGGAATAAGCGCTCAGGGTTTGGCTGGCTGCTAGAGACCCTGGGTTGGCTGGTGAACCGCCCATTGTGCGGGGTCTCAGGATCAGGCCTCTCTCACCAAATTCTGCCCCTGGAGATGCCTCCCAGGATGCTGTGCTGGCCTCTCCCCTTCCATTCCTCTGTTTAGCCTACTGCACTAGTGTTCCTTTCTATGGGCTGTGGGAGGGACCTGAAGTGAAGGACAGACCTAGCTCAGCCTCCTGTTTTCCTCAATAGCCGCAGATCCTCCCCCAGGAACTCAGCGGTGGGGAATGGGCTGACTGTCCCAAAGGAACCCTGGTGGGGGTGCCCCAGCCTGTTACCTGGGCCTCCTCCTGGGCCAGCCGTGCCAGCCCAGCAGAGTCCAGCTGCACCCCTTTCTCCTCCAGCATCAGCTCTACTAGGTCCAAGGGGAGCCCCAGGTCCCCAGACATTGACAAGGACCAGGCCACTTCGGCTTTTTGGAAGGAAAACAAGGGGTTTTGAGCGGGGAGGGGCAA